TAGGTAGGTAGGTAGGTAGGTAGGTAGGTAGGTAGGTAGGTAGGTAGGTAGGTAGGTAGGTAGGTAGATATAGTCTTATGAAACTTAATCACAGGAACCTACATCCGTCTTCTGGTCAGAGACTACCAGATCTCGACGCACACTGTGTTGTTGAAGGGTGATCAAGCATCTGGTAACTCGAAGAGCACCTTTTGCATACAGAGTTCGCAGTTTACACAGACTGATCTCGGCGTCCGGTGGCTGTCTATTTGCTGGGGTAGTGAAGGTGCTCAAGTGCTCGACATCGAATTCGCCGAAAACCCGCACCACATCGGTGCTGCCGTAGTTCGAGTTTCGGCTGATAAGGTGGCACCGCAAGCGCACGGCAGAGACCGAGTTGCAAGCATGTAAGAAAAGGGAAGGAAAAATTTGCTTGAAATAAATTATGCTTACGAAGTCCTGTCTATAAAAGGTCTTTCATGAGCCAGGAAAAAGCAAAAGTTAACTCCTATTTACAAAGATATACCATTTACAAAGAAGGTCACCTGTAATTAGCATGGGAATGGACTTCTTGGGATGCTGACATGGAATTTTTTAAAATATTTTTTGACTAAAAGTGACCTATCAAAATACTTATACTTGGCCAACTTTATTACCTACTTATTTGTTCGCTACCATCATTTATATTTTAGCAGATGCCAATTGCTAGTAAAAAAACAAGAGAAAGAGAGTGTTTATACCAAAAAATGTAAATATGAAGTAAATCCGTGTTTCTAATAATTCCTAAGTAAGTTCGTGTGACTCGGCTTTTCAGTTCGAATTAAAAGTTGGTTTGAGGGAATTCAGGAATTTCTCTAACCGGAGACCGAAAAAGCGCTGGCCTGAGACCCGATGAACTCGTGTTAAGCTTACGTCTCTCCTTGGATAGACATCATCAGAGCAAGAAGTCATACTTTACCAAATAGCTCACTAATATTATAATAATATACTAAACCTTTTCTCCTTGTTTAATATATTGCTTGCTATTTCGTAAAATACGATGATGTTTATCAAAGGAGAGACAATAGCTTAGCATGTGTTCAACGGAGTCGCAGGATGGTGAGCCGAGGAATTTTTTGCAAAATCCAAGTCAATTCTCCTCCGGTTTCCGGTGAAACCAATCCACAAATTCCTTCTAACTAGCTTTTCTCTCAAACTGAAAAGTTGAGTCACACTAGCTTACTGAGAGTTTATTCGAAACCCAGCTTTGCCCGCAAAAGATATAGCCACAAATATTTTTGCTCAAGATCCGGCTTGGTTACGTTGCGGGAAACAGCCTCTTAAAACGATATCCAGGTCATTGAACCCATGCAGCACTAGTCTGTAGAATAAACTAGAAAACGACAGTTTTAAGTCAATTTGGTTTGGTTTCACATGGGGCCTAGTGTTATTACCATTTTCTTCCTAAAGCCTAACTCATCGTGCTCAATAAGAGACTTTTTTCTCACCATTTTTGATGACTTCACCAAACTAGGATAGTTTCTTTCTTATTGTCTGATATTGATTGCTCCGCGTTCCCACGGAATGAAATTTCTCATCAGAAATTAGCTGTGGCAAAGCTAGCTGTAGGTATGTTAGTCTAAACTATGAATCACTTTGCAGTTGAAGATTGCTGTCTTGCTTGTTCTGGATATGAAAGAGCAACAAGAAGGATAGCCAAAAGGCTGCCATAGCTATTAATCTACTGCTAGTTGTGCCGTATTGTAGATTTTAGATTGGCGTCAGATTTAAATATATTTGTCAAGTAACTTCATAAATATATAGAATGGGCAAGCTTTTAATAGTTGTTTGAGAATTGATTCCTGATGTGGTGAGAAAAGTTAGTAACCAGCTTGGGTATGAGATAATAATTGCAGACCATGATATTATCATGTAGATATTTATTTAAATTAATGTTGTCTTATTGCCTAAATTGAGTGTGCTCCAAGTCTTCAAGATCTCCTGGTGATTTTGCAAAGCACTCGAGGGATTTTTTCTATGTTATGGACAAATTGTATGTGGGCTATATAGTCAGTCTTTGCAGCACAAGTTGAACAGACGCCGGACAAAGCTTAAATTTACAATTAACTCTTTTGTTTCTACGCTCTCTATCAACCTTCTCTATTATGGATCCGAGTCAGCCTGACTGTTACTGCCTTGTCGTTTTAGCACTTCCTTCCGACTTGGATGCACACAAGACACCTAAGCTTGGTGTGGAATGCTAGCAATAAAATTATGCTATTCCAGGTCGAGTCTCACACTTCTCATCTCTCACCCTCCGGGGTTTCAGGACTTGCCTCCGCCATAATACTTCCTGCGATGAGTCACACTGCTCTAAATAAAGAGTTCGTTGAGCAAGTTACCTCTGATTATATGCTAAAATTCCTCCGATTTGGTGAAAGAGTTAGCTTTAATTGATCATGCACCACTCGCCCAAGCTTAGGGGCTCGATTCGTTCCAAAGAGTTATGTTATTTTACGAATAATGTATCAGCTTCATAATAAAAATATTTATAGAGGACTTATGGATTACCTTTTACTCGAAAGTAAAGAATATGAATGCTATACAATTAGAGGCTGCTTTATACTGATTTACATCCAGTTCCTAGGGGAATCCA